CAGTCAAGTGTTTCTTTGTCTAGCATTGCACCACCAGATTGCTTTTATTAACAACAGGATAGGTTTTATTTTAGCTAATGTTCTATTCATTCAAGAAGCAGTTTGTACAAGTTATGCAATTCTAATATTCAGTGTATTTACAGCAATGATTCTGAATTAATGATTCTGAGTAGTGGAGTCAATACTACAGAATATAGTACACCTCACGCAAAAAATTCCCTGCTCGTCAGTAGATTCTGATTCAGCAACCTTATATGACAGCACAGAACTACCCCTATGGGTTTCTGAAATGCTGACTCATTTATTAACTCTCTATTATTTGACATTTTGAATTCATAACAATAGAAACATTATTCTAGCTGACTATTTTTCCCAGTAATGATGTACTTCTGATTGTTACAAACACCAAAATGTGAGGTGGGAGTGATGCTACATTTAATGTCTAAGATATGGGTCAATTTGGGTAGGCTGTGATTGTCAGTCACTGTTGTAGAGTCAATTCTAACTCACGCAACCCTATAGGGCAGGGTAGAACTAGCCCTCTGGGTTTATGAGACTCCTGCTACTCATTATTGACTATTTCTTATTTGATGCTTTCAATATACAGCAACAGTAAAAACATATAGCATTTGGCTCTTGTGCTCACTAATGATGCACTTCTGACAGTTACAAATACCAAGGTATGACATGAGAGTGATGCTACATTCTCTGATTACCAGTTTTAACATTATATAATGATGCGATTTTGCAGTTCTGTAATGTGGTAGCTATATAATGATGAATCTATCCTCTGTTTTGTTATCTGATGTGCTCATTCTCCATGATCACATAACAACAATTTTTGGAGAACAAACTAATCTTGGGAACCTAACCATGTTGGTAAGTGATTGGTGTAATGTAAAACATTTCTAGGCCATGTAAGAGACATGCTATAGTTAGGCCCCCTTTTTAATAAGAGATACTGACAGACTACTATGTCTCCTCCTCAACAGCTCACATATTTTACAAACAGGGAAAATGATTGGAAGCATTGCAAATAGTCTCAAAATAGAGCCCATTTTAAGCTTAGAGACCAGAAAGCAGAAAATACTTGGAGATAATATTCTAAAGTATACATATTCCTTTAAAAATCAAATATTTCCTTTCTAAATTTTGTGCCTTATTTGACTTATGAGTGATACTGAGTTTTTGTATAAATAAAAGATCTCAGAAGAATGATTCCCAGAAAATACTACTTAATGACTGCAAATCCATATTCAGTAAATGGCTTTACCTGAGTACTTTCCACCTTTATTCCTCCTCACGAAGCAAACCGTTAACAAGATCAGCGTCAGGAGAGCTATGGCACACATCAACCCAATAAACCAGCCTTGAGTGGCGATGTCATCGTATAATCCAGCATATTCTGTTGCAGAAAGAGAAGTCACAACTTTGGAACTAGACAAAAGTCTTTTCATGGGGGAAATCAGCTATTTTAAAGCATATCAAAGAACATCCGCTTTTGTTGTCCC